CCTATGTATGCCATGCTTTTTCCTATACATACATATATACCTATGGTGAAGTTTACAGCTTCTCTTTGGCATAACTGAATTGCCAGCACCATTACTCTTGGGATTTGGGGCCATTGTTAAGTAAAATAAGGGTTACTTGAACATAAGCACTGTGATACCTCAACAGTGAATTTGATACTAAATGACTAAGGGGTGGGGAGTGAATACAGCTTGGAGACAGAGGACAAAGGCTGATTCACATCCCGGGTGAGATGGAAGGGACAGCGATTTCTGGAATTTTTCATTTAATATTTTCAGAGTGAGAAAGTCCACAGGTAGCTGAAACTGAGGAAAGCGAAACTGTGGATAAGGGGGCATTACCGTATTAAACTAGTTATGAACAATTTTCAAGTGTCTCCTCAAACATGAAAGTAACAGCACACATACAGATCATCTCTCCCTTTTAAAGGAACCCTAGACTGGCTGCTACACAACTGCTGAGCTAATGTGCTCCAATGCAACCCTAACGCCCAGCTGGAAGTGCAAATATCAGGCAGAACACTGAACAGAGTAGGCTCGACGTCTTACCCACAGTAACACCCACTGATTTTCTGGCTGCTCTTTCAACTTTTCCTAGAAGTTTTAAGTGATTTTAAACTACATATTCCCAAACAAGTTCTCGAAACATGTCTGTTTCTTGATGAGGATGCTACTGGCACTTTGAGTGTGATAGCTCCATTGCAGGCAACTTTCTTCTACACTGCAGATCACTTAACATCCGTGGCTCTTTATTAAAAATCTGTGCCAAGTCATCCCCAGTGCTTGTGACAAATCTCACGCACACACATTTCCAAATGTCCTTTACCTCTGAAGGAGCAGCACTGCGGGAAACTTGAGAACAGCTTTAGCCATTTGTGTCTTCTCCAAAAGCCCTGTCACAATTAAAAGCAAAAAACACCCCACAAAAAGCACTCATTTTGTTGAGCGATGTCAGATGAAGTGAGGCCCTGGGTCTTGTGCCCTCTGAACTCTAAATGAACTGGTGGCCTGTGTGAGCACTGCGCTACTCGCCTGGAGAGCCTATTCTCAGGATGGGCCTGCTCCTCCATCACCAAGGACGTGTGCTGGTCCCAGCTCTCTCCTGAAAGTAGGGGCCTATAATTTGGGGGTACAAATTCAATTATAGTAGGAGCCCAGCTGTGTCTCTGTGTCTCTGTGTCTCTTATTCTCATTAAAGCTTTTGCCAATAAAATTGACACTAAAAAAAGTGAAATACCAGAATGTTAATTTTGTGAACTTTTCCTTTTCAAAACCAGGTACACCTGTCCTTTTCTTCTGATGGAGAAAAGGTGGAATTTTTAATAAGCAATGTGAATAACTGCCATAGGCAAAAGATAAACTAGATCCAAACCTCACACCATACACTAAAGTAAACTCTACATGAGTTAGAGAGCTAAACATAGAAAATGGCAACAAAACAAAACTAGTACTAAACAACATCAGTGAATTCTTTATAATGTAGATATCCAAGTCTGACCAAAATAAAAAGACTGACCAAATAAAGCTATATTAAAAAATGAAAAAATATGGCTCTAATGTATTCATAATAAGAGAAGTACAATTAAAACCACTAAGTTAATGCTTTTCATCCAACAGAACTAGCAAAAATTCAAAAGCCTGACAGCACATTGCTGAAGGTTAGAAAGCTCTGGCAGTGCCTTGCTGGTGGAGTGTTAAATGGTGCTACAAACATGGAAAGTTTGACACTATCTAACAAAACTACATATTTCTCCCAGCAATCCCATTTCTATGAATTGCTCTTAAAGATACACCCCCTCACAAATACAAAACAACATAAGCACAGGTTATTCATTGATTTATAAGAGCAAAATATTAGAAACAACCAAATCCCCAGAAATGAATTTGGTTGAATAAATGATGGTACATCTGTGTGACAAAGTACTTTAGAGACATAAAAAAAAAAGATTGAGAAAAACAAGATGCAAAAGAAATGTACTTAGAATGAGACCACTAGTGCGAGAAAGAGAAACAGAAATAACAAAATACATATTGGAATAGAAGAATAACATACACATGTTTCTTTTTGGCAAACATAAACACAGAAAGAATTAAGTGGCAAATAATAAAAATCATTACCTATTAAAGGACTAGAGGCCCAGTGAACGAAATTCATGCACTCAGGGAGAGGGTCCCTAAGCCCGGCCG